CTACCCATTCCCCCCTTTCACTCACCACCATAAAACACAGCACACAATACACCAGACAGCACACATATTAAAGATAGGCAGCGGCACACGCACAGAGAGCATACACAGAGTAAGTACAAATAACAGTATAAACATATAAGAATAACATAACGTAACATAAGATAGTAATACGAATATTTGCATATTACATACCTATTACATACATATTACATATTTGCATACCTGAACAACGATAAAACAAGAAGTGGCCGCTGCAGCACTATAGACATAGGGCGAGTGCCCCGAGGAATTTTAATTTTTAAAATTTGGAAAAAGAAAAAGAACGGAAAATTTAAAGACATTTTAATTTGAATTGAAGTTTTAAAAAGTGCCAGTTTTGGAAATCAAATTGACGTGTGTAGGTTAACAAAGATTTTATACATACATACAATTGGAAAGACTGGTGTTTTTAAATTTTAAACTACGGGCAGTGTAGCAGCTACGTAAGAATATACACCTGATGATGGCCATTTAGGGCCAAAACATGTAGTGTAGAGGAAGGAAAGAAGAAAGAACTACAATTAAATTGTTGCACTTAAGACGGAGTTTGTCTCATATATTGTGTGAGTGTAACAGGATGCTTAAATATAATATTGTAGTTGTAGTTGTTGAGCAATGAAAATGAGGGTCCAGTTGTTGTATAATAAGTAGAGAGTTAAAGTTAAGAGAAGCAGTAACACAGTAGGCTCTGATGTTTCTGTAACCTTCCCACTGGCTTTGGTGTGGTTTCTAATAAACACAGCTGCAGATGGCAGAAGGCAAGACCAAAAAGAAAGCAATGCATGTAACACAACTCTAAATAAATGATAGACCATGAATAGACCTGTGAGATAAGGCTAGACAAGTATAATAAAAAAAAACCTGGAAGAATGTGCAGAGATGAGTATGGCCAAAATCAAAATTTGGTCACACAAGCCAAATCTGAATTTAAAAGATAAGCACTTCCCAATCTCTGACCACTAGTCCCCATCTAGCCATCCTCAGGGACCTTTCTTCACAAGTAGAGCAATGAGGAGCATAAGATCAGATTCCTGAATGTATGCAGCTAAAGCTCACAGAGAGAATGGAGTGGAGGGGGTGGAGGGTAGGAGAAATAGGGTGCACAGAAAGGCCACAGGTTGTTCCAAAATAGGCAGTACAATGAGTGGGGCACAGCTCAGATTCTGTAGTGTGAATAGTCATACAATAATGCCATGGCACATTTAACTTCAAACGCATTTTTCATTGTATCAAGTGGAATTTTCATCTCAGTGTTTATTGAGGAATTGTGGAGTACATGGGCACTAATATCCATTACATGCAATCTTGAAAATCGCATGAAGGCTTTCTGTCTCTGCGTTCCTCATGGAACCATATAGTAATGGTGCAAACATCCATACTGTGTTTCCACACTGTATTCAGCTGTAATCACCACACTGTAACATGTGATATTATACTCTGAAAAGCAGTATTGCATACATTATGCACCACAACTTTCATATTTGATTTTTGGGGTAGAAAAGGTGTGTATATTACACAGATAATTACAGTATACAGTAAAACTTTGTTATAGCAACATCGGTTTCTGCGACACCTTGTCTATTGCGTCAAATATTCAGTGGTACGAACTAATTCCTCATAAAGCAACTGTTTTTATACCTTGCTTAGTACGACATGCACAAATGCATCAACCTCGTATGTAACGTCATTTTCATTCCCGAATTTCTCTGATATGGACATTGAACGTAATTTAGAAAGTGTGTATTGGGCAAGTAACAGGAAACAGATGAAGATAACTGATTACTGTACTCGTATCTAGGTACAGTAAGGCACAACAATTGATGTAATCTACTGTAATTTGGTGAGTGGGCCTACCTTTAATATACAGTATTAGTGCGGTGTGTATTGTCAGTGAAAAGCGCTGTAATATGTCTTTGATATTACAAATGCAACATTTTAACTCGGTTTTTGGTACATTTTTACGTGACTAACATAAGGCTACTGTGGAAGTGCCCATTTCGGTTACAACGACATTCGTTTATAACGACACTATTTTTAGGTCCCTTTGATGACGTTATAACCAAGTTCTACTGTATATGAATATTGAAAAGTGGGTATAATGTGGTGCACCTTCTGTTTAGAAGTATGTTTTTCTGACATGTTTGTTATAGGAGGAACTCATTCTATTTCTTCATGTGTCTTTATTTCCAAATCCCTTGTTATGACAATTAATTCTTGCCTTTTTTTAATTGCTAGTGGGGTGGGACTAAGTCCCTTGTACTGCGGCCACTTCTGGCCTATTGTACCAGCCCCAGATGATAGGTGAGGGTGATTGTGGAGCAATTGGTGGAATGAATATTGGCAGGGGAAACCGAAGTACTTGGAGAAAACCTGCCCCAACGCCACTTTGTCCACCACAAATCCCACTTGACCAGACCCAGGATCGAACCTGGGCTGCTGTGATGGGAAGCCAGCGACTAACCGCTTGAGCTATGGCGTGGCCTCAATTCTTGCCTTTACATCAATTTGTCAGAGGAATGTGCTTATACAATTGGGATGATTAACTACTGTATTCCAGTGTTGAAGTAACAGTCAAAAGCTATCCCTCTAACAGGCCATAGAGGGCCATATTGTGAGAGGTCGAGCCTCCCACATTTTCTAGACAGATGGCGATGAGGTTGTCAGCCTTATGCACCAGCCACCCTTTATCCCCCAGGAAGATTCCTGGTACTCATTTCTGTTAGAGGCTGAGGTTATAGTGCAGTTGGAAGGATTAAGTCAATTGAAAAATCCAATGACATGTGGATACAAGCCTGTAATCTTCCAGCTTGTAGCATAGTGCCTCAACCAAATACTCTACTGAGTTCCCCCCACCTTGAAGTAACAGTGCCTAAAGACTATTAATATTGTAAACATATTTGTTGTACATACTTTTCTTTGTACACAAGAAACTCTTAGTTTGACATTGTTTTTTTCTTGTTTTGTATTTCTAGATGGTGAAATCAAAGGTATCCTATGTTGTCCTGAAATCAGATGTGGTAGGCAAAGGCAAGCCTGCTGTAATCCTCAAACACGGAGGTCACGTGGAGCCGTTGTCAGAGCTTGGTGGTCAGAAACCAGCATCAGGTGCTGAGAACACAACAGGGCCATGGTTGTGTCATTCCTGTGGTTCTAATGAAGAACCTATTCACTTTGAAACTTACTATCTGTACAGGCGTCATCTCCAGGATGTGCACATGGAGAAGATTGATGCTCGGATATGTGAGCACTGTGGTCATCGTGCCAGCAAACGCAATCTCTTGCTTTACCATCTCTATACAAAACATGGTGTCCCTCCTCCACGAAACTGTCAGTTTCCTAAGTGTGATCAGTGCGACTATGTGGCACTTAGTGAAAGTCTTCTCATCAAGCATCGCAACAATCACTCCAATAACAAAGAATTTGTTTGCAAAGTGTGCAATGCTACTTTCAAGAGTAATGGAGCTTTACAAGGTCACATGCAAACTAATCTTCATTCAGATCCATCCAAGAAACTGTATGACTGTCCATTCTGCCAGAAACCATTTGTACGCAACATAAATCTCAAGGCACATATTCGTACCAGTCACAAAGAGGTAATTCGTAAAATGGATGAGGAAGAAAAGCTACACATGGAAGCCACACATAAGCAGTTTGCAAATCTGCAACACTTTGAAGATGGAGAAGAAGCTCATGCTTCAGATGCAGCAGGGGAAGATAGTCTCAATGCTGACGAAGAGGAGGATGGAGAAATGGTTGAGGTACCTGTAATTGATGCTGTTATGCAGAAACCAAGCACTGGCACAGTGATGCTACCATCAGGAGTAACTGTGCTAGCTGAGGCTCCTGCAGTCCAGTCATTGGTTCCTTCATCCGAAGCAGAGGCTTTGAGCAATGTTGCGAGTGGCATTGCAGCTTCCCTTGGCCTTGCAGACACACTGACAGGAGAACAGACAGTAATAGTATTGGATGATAATCAGGAATTTATTCTGCATTCCACAGAAATTGTAGGGGAAGAGATAACTTCAACAGATGGAAATGATGTAGATGTAAGTGGTGTAGGAGCAGGAGAATTGCAGGAATACATTGTGCCAGAGATAATGCCTGATGAGGGCCAGGAACAGGAGGACCAGTCTTACTCTGGTCCTCTGTCAGATCTGGAACATTATTCTGGGGAAACAAATTCTGCCATGACAGTTCCATCCCACCAGACAGCAACTGCACCGCCTCCAGTCAGTGTGGCTGTATCAGTTGCAGGTGGCGATGAAGTAACAATGGTTCTTACTGATCATGATTATGCTCCAATGAGGGACACCAGTGGTGATGGGGTAATGTTCTTAATAGCACAACCAACAGAACAGGCTGAAGAACACAATGTGAAGTGTCCTGTCAGTGACCGTGAATCAGAGCCAGAACTGCCTGTGCTCGAGAAAGAGCCACCGCCACCTGAGCTGACGGCAGAGTCAGCCTGTGCTGTTCCATCAGAGATCAAATATAGCAATATCCCACCTGTTCTTACAAGAGAGAGTATAATTCCTCATGAGGGGAGTGACAGTTTAATGTCAGCAGCTGATGAACAGATTATTAGTGAAAGTGTAGTCTCAGAAGGAAATGATGTTATGGTAACTGAAGAAATGCCCCCAACTGCTGAAGGAGGTATTCAGGAAGTATCAGAAGAAGCAAATAACCAAGAAACACAAATGGAACATGTGGAACAATTGAATAGAAATGAAGGTGAAAGAGGAAAAGAAATAGTAACTAATGGAAGAGAGCAAGAAGTAAAAGTGATAATGGTAGGTAGTGTAGATGATTTGAGGTTGAAAGAAACATCTGCAACAGAAAGCATCATCCAAGAGGATAAGGAACAGGAAGCAGTAGTTGTAGAAGGAGAAAGAGTAGGAGGAGAGGATGAACATGATGACAGTGATGAAACAAAGCAAGCTTCAACCATGAAAACCTATTCTCCCATGAAAAAGCCAGTTGCCAATAATGCACCAGTAAGAAGACAGCCACCTGTTCAAATGGCAGATATTGTGAAAGAATGGGATGATTTTGATGATGATGAAGATAATATTTCAGAACCATCTCAACAGTCAGAATCAGAAAAGAAACCAGAGGCCTCTGAAGGGGAGCCAGAAGTATTGCGAGGTCCAGTGAGTGGGGAGCAGTGAGTAGTAAACTGAACATAGAAAACTGGGATAATTCATAAATTTACCACTTGTGACTGTGAGTACTGTGTGTTATATTTGGATATAGAATGACTGAAGTTATGCAGATATTCACATGCTTCCCTGCATTTTATTATATCAGTATGTAGCATGCAAGTGAAAGTGTCTTTAGAAGCTGATTTATTATTGGTATGGGAATATGTCTCCCAGAAACTGAAATATATTGGAAGTATGTTATGAACGATAATTTGAAAGTAATCTATTTTGTATCCAATTTCCCTTTCTTTCCAGTAGAATAATGAATTAACTTTGATGGTAGTGATGTACTAGTATGGTATTAATGTACCATGAATATGTTTTTAATGATCTCTTTATGTTTGTGCTCTTATATTGTTTTCTTTTTTATTTTATAGTGCATTGCCTCATTTTATCTCAAACCATATTACTTTTAAGCCCACTGAATATTACATGACGTTAATCCAATTATTGAGCAGTTCACTTATAAATTATTTTATAACGAGTTTCGTAACTATTTAAGATAGTGACATATTTTGTACAGCATATATTCTATTTGAAGAGCAAAGAGTAGCTTTTGTTATTTTTTGTAACAGCACAAATGTAGATTTCATAAATTTTGTGCACAAATCTTGAAAAGTTTCTTCATCAAAAAGAAAATACCACCACACTTGGGCTGCTATGAAGTCTGTATATACCAAATTACCAAATGACTCATGTACTAAGAAGAGCCTTATATGTATAATTTGAAGTGATTACTAATAATGCCATAATTGATGCAGCTTATTTTGCATAATCGCCAAAGTTGCCTCATCAGATTGCTATCATTCAGACTGTTTATTAGATATTTGTAGTCAAGTCCATCAACAGTGAGTATTCCTGTTTATAATTACTGAATATTAGTGTTCAGTGAGAAAGTGGAACTGTGCTACATATAGTATATAAGATTAACAACTTTTCAATTTGTAATTGAAAGGAAGTCTATTTGCAACCACACCTGCTGGCCAACCTTAAAACACATTTAATATACGAGTTAAAAATTTCAAATGTACACTATTTATTCAGGAGTAGACTATTTTTCAGATGTACCCATGTTCCACAATATGGTTATCAATAAAAGTGCAACCAGATTACAAATCTCTGTAACAATTAGCTACTGCATTTTAAGAAAACCACATTGCATTTTTATTTCAGCTAGACTTTTGCTTTTAAAATGTGGCAGTGAGACTTTAATTACATATGCCAATGAAACTGATCAAATCGGGTAGAAATGTGACGATGAAAGTGTTCCAGCCAAGGATTCTATTTTGTGTGCATACATATGGACTCATGTCCCAGTTAAAAACTGGTAGAGTTTGTTTGCAGTGCAAATAATAGGGTAATAGTTGTTAAATCAAAGGGCATAATTACTAGGACATTATTATGAGTTCAGAGGATGTGCAGAGATATGAGTATGTTTCATTGAAAACCAACCTCTTTTTCAGCTTTCCCCCCACCAACAATAGTAGGTTCTGCACAGCAATAAGAAATTAAAAAGAATAAGCTTCGATAGTACCCACCACACCTCCACTCTCACCCCCAGAGAAAGAGGGCCCTCAGAAAGACACATTCAGTGGAAGATCAGAAGTATGTATGAAATATGGTGAAATGTGTATTCCATCAATTCATGATCTTAAAAAAATTAAATTTTGCACAGAAACATGTCAAGTTGAACTGCTGAACATTTCATGTCAGGTGCTTCGCCAAATTTCAGTGATAGTAATCCCATTTCCCTTCTGAATCCACCAGTTATATGTGTGTGCTATATCTTAATGCTGAAATGGCACTGAAAATTTTTCTCACATTATTGGTTACTGTAGCTTGTGAACATAAAAAATTCTAACTCCATTGGTTTTAGTCCACAAGTGAACTATGCTGACCGAGTGACTGCCGCTTGTCAGCAAAGCTTGTGAACATAACTTTTGTAAATTCAAGATAATAAAATCTATCTACAGTCAGTACAAAACCAGGAACTTGCATCCAGCTTGGCATCGTGTCTAAGGAAGAGGAAATGGCATACTGGTTAAATTACTGTCGTGCATTAAGTGACAAGAGATAAGATCTGGATTGATAACTGGATTTGTTGGACTCTTAAAAATCAAGTGATTGTAGCCGTTTTACTAGTTCGTGCACTTTATAATTCATTATAGCACACCCAAAGCCTTCTGTGTCTTCACTAAGCACCGTCTGGTAATGGATCCCACAACAGGGTAGGTCCATCAGCTTCCATGTGTAACAGCTCCTAGCTGGCTGGTGACGCTCTCACATCTATCCCAAGGTAGTAACTCGAGTCAAAGTCAAAGTTATGTTACAACCAACAGTCTGTTGGCCAGTCTATCTTGGAATAAAGCACCCATCTGGGGCTTATGACCAGATATTTATTACCCTATGACAGTTGCAGGCTTGATATGCTTTTGTGGGTCACCCTCTCTAACGAGAGGACAGGTCTGTCTTCTACATGTGCTGCTGGTCCTTGCCAGCGCAATCTTTCTCGGATCCAAGTCCCTTGGTTCTTGTGGCCATATTTTACTGTCTCAGATTTGAGACTTTCCCTTTCATCGCTTCCTACAACTCGCAGGGTCACAGTGGAGGTATTCGACCCCACCTCCACACGGGCTGGCCCTCAGTTCCCCTCAAGTCAAAAATCTCCTCTGATCTCATATCGTCTACAGTTGGACGGACTAGAAGACGCCTTCTTGAAGGGTATTTGTTGCAGCGGGAACTGCAGTAGCTCTGGCCTTCATTCCTGTGGTAATGTCTGCCAATGTATGCATTGTCGCGTTTACGTATTTACAATTGCCGCCTAGGCAAAGATGTATTCGCTGTTCCTTGTATGGGAAACATAATTACTAAGCCGTTGTTTAGCAGCGGACTTTTCTGTTCTTTTCTGACTGCACACTTAGGCTTTCAGGCTGTGTTTACCGAGAGCTGCTAAACAATGGTCTGTTCCATCTTCTCCGACCACATGTTTTAACAAGCCGTTGTTTAGCAGTGGACGCCCACTCAGATATTCTGGCTTTTGGGCGGCACTCCACAATACAATATATACAAAGCTTCTGTCAGTACAGCAGATCATACCTATGAACTCTACTGGCCATTTTGATCCACTATTTCAGCCTCTTCTAACACAGCACCATTAAACTCTGTCGTAATCTGCTGTACTACCGTTACTACTACTTTCAACATTTTGTCCAGATGCAAACTGTTTACATTAAGGGCTCGAACTGACTGACGTGTTATCTGGTGTTCGTGTTGGGTTAAAGTAGCATGGACCCTGGCTTCTATTGTGGTGGGACCTGCCACTGCCTGAAGCTGTTGCTATTCCTCTCTCCTGCCTCGGAATGCCGCCACGAAGGACACGCCTGAAGTGGTTAGGTTTGAAGAGAACACCCTTCCTGTTGTAGGCCTGGGTGTCCTCTTCGACTTCTTTTTCTTAATCTCCTTCGCGTTTCTGAAGCCCCGATAATTAGCGAGATGTGGTTTTTCTCCTACTGCCAATCGACATTTGTAGCATGTTTAGGTGGAAGATGTATTTCCTTTCTCGAGGCACTCCTTGTGCCGGTGATCGTCTCCGGGCCACAAGAAGCGGTGATGTTGCTTGCAGTTTGCCTGAATTTGTAGCAGGATTTATTGAACTCTTAGAGCTGACAGTCCAGCAAAATCTGCGCCATGGATGGGCAGGTCCATTCGTGAAAGTTGAGGGGTGTTGTGATCAGTCATTTGTCTGCATTCAGTGCGAGTAGTCGTCTCAAGAGCATTCTTGCTTGTACAGTCAAGTTAAAAAGTTTTGACTCTAGGAGTCTTATTTGAGTGTATTATTCTCAAATTACTGTATTAATATTGTGACGCATTACCTTATGTCCATCGCCGTGCAACGCTACAGTGGAAATTGTTGAGTTCCGACAGCGACAAATCGAATACAAACAGACCGTTGTGAAGGAGCGTTCCCGAGGCAACGGATTGTCGAACATGTGAGTTTGGAATAGGCACTTCCATGGTGACGCAAAGAACAGGGAGTCGTTCTGTAGACAGTGCAGAAGCAACGAACTCGTCTCCCCAGAAATGAACTACAGAGAGTTCGTTGAACCCGTTACGTAACAGCGGGCAGTAGAAACGAAAGAGTGAGGAATGGTGTCTGGTATCCAGTCCGCAGAACACCTACATAAGCCGAGAGCTACAGAGACAGAAGACACTCGTGTGGAGGCGGGGTCGAATACCTCCACCGTGACCCTGCGAGTCGTAGGAGGCGACGAAAAGGGAAGTCTCAAATCTGAGACAGTAGAATATGGTCGCGAGTCCCAAGGAACTCGGACCCGAGAAAGACCGCGCTGGCAAGGACCAGCAGCATATGCAAAAGACAGACCCGTCCTCTCGTCAGAGAGGGCGCCCCACAAAAAGAAGACCGTAACTGTCAAACAGTAATAATTAATATCTGGTCATGAGCCACAGTCAGTCGCAATGTAACTTTGACTTTGACTTTTGACAGAAGACAGCAAGAAGTCAGTATTGGGATAGCCGTCGCCGAAGACAGTTGAGATGTCACATTGAAGTATTGGGCCAGAAGTCAAGTGGTGACAGTATTTTATTTTGTTTATTTTTATTCGTTGATTTTCTTTTTTGTTTATTTATATTTGTACATTTTTTCTGCTTCCTTTAAAATGACACCTACACGAAGTAAATTGAGTGGAAAAGTGTTGCATTCACAATCAAGAGAAATTGTTAGTAATGTATATAAGTATACGAAAGAGGCTGGGCCAACAGTTACAGTGAAGAACGTAGGAGTGGAAGTAGCAAAGTCAGCAGGTGTATCGAAATGTAGTGTCAGAAGAATAATAAGAGAAACAAAAAATATCGAATCTGGGGCTTCCACTTCCTTTTCGACACCCCATGAAGAAAGACCTAGGAAATCTCCACTAGCCACTTTGGACGACTTTAACAAGTCTGTGTTGCGAAGAAAAATTATTGACTTCTACATAGTCGAAAAACGGAGACCTACCCTGAAGAAAAGTTGAAGAAAACGTTAGATTTTCAGGGATGAATCTCCACATTAAAGAAAATTATTTTGAAACTGGGGTTACGCTGGAAGAAAACAAAAAATAATCGGACATTGCCGGTGTTACCCCTTTAGAATAGATCAGTGTAATATGTAAATAAACTCTTCATGTATACGTATAACAGTGAAAAGTTTTAATAGTGTATGGTGCATGACAGTCTGCCATTCGGCACTTAAAACTTAACATCGGATGTGTGAACATCAACGAGGATAAACCACCATCGCTATGCAACACAATGAGGTAAGAAGATATTTCCTTTTGAGAACGCCTGTACTGCATTCCCCGCCACACTTGTCGGCATGCTGGAGCTCTCCCTGCCACTACCAATACTTCTCCTACCTCGCGTAGGAGGACTGTCACCTCTAAGTACTAGAGCTATACAAATCGCAACTACCAGTACGATGGAGAGTCAGTAAATACATCACAAAGAGAAATAAAATAACTGTAATTGAGGCAATGGGGTTTCTGTGTGTATCTCTAGGTAGCAGCACAGCCCAGCTTCGTGACGTTCATGACAGTCAGATTGACAGACGTGCATGCGCAAGTTCAGAGGCTGGTGCCAATGATCAAAATGGTGATCTTGCTTGAGGATTATGCTACCGAAGAGCAGCATTCTATTGTGGGTCTTTTGCGGGAAAAAGGACTTAATGCAAAGAATTCATAAAGTCATGTTTCCTATTTGCTGTGGAAGTGTTTTTTTAAATGTCGCAGATGATGCCCAACCAGGTCACCCTGCTGAGACGACTGCAGAAGCAAATGTGAAGCGGGTGAAATAGTTGATTCGAGGTGACAGGAGGATAACGGTAGACAATGTAGTAACTTTACTAGGGTGTTCCCGTGGTTTAGCCTATAGCATAATGCGTGGTCATTTGAAGTTTCAGAAAGTGTGCTCATGGTGGGTGCCCAGAGAACTAAAGGATGGAGAAAAAATTAACCGGATTGGTTTCTCTTTGCAACATTTCTTCCATTATGCAGACGAAAGAGAAGATATGCTTAATAGGATTGTTACTGGGAACGAGTCATGGGTGTATGTAT